TATATATATATATATATACACACACACACACACACACACTTTTCCAGATCACTCTTTTAATGACCCTCCTCTTCTGACCAGGCCTCCTACTAATACATTCAGCTACTAAGCTCATCAACGCATTAATTCACTGATGAGTATAGCAGCCACATGATCCTATCACCTTCCAAAAGTCCCACCTTAGGAGATGTGAGACTTTTGGGGGACATTTTAGACCTAAACCATGACACCCTCCCAAAGGAGGAGACTGAAGGAAAAGGGCTGCCCGGTGCCTTTCCCAGGAGGCCAGGCACATCTCAAGGGACCTCACCTGGGGAGCTTGGAGGAGGCAGTGGGGAAAAAGTTCCTAGAGACCCATAGTCTTTGGTTCCGGCTCTGGGCTGACCTTTAGGAGACCTGCTGCCTGCTGATGGTGTGCTCATCCAGGGCAATGACCTCAAGATCGATGAAAGCTCCCTGACAGGCGAGTCCGACCACGTGCGCAAGTCAGCTGACAAAGATCCCATGCTGCTGTCAGGTGAGGGCCACCTTCCCACCCAGCTCAGCACAAAGCCATCTTGGAAGCCATTTGGCCCAGTTGCCTGCCAAGCTCACCTAAACGATGGCTTCCCTAAGTAGCCCTGTCAGTTGATGGTGGCAGCTGCAGCCACAGGGTAAGGAAGTAGGTGCTGCCAGCTTAGCAGAGCCTCTGTATCTGGAATGGGAAGCACCAAGTAGGGGAGAGCTTGCTGGGGCTCAGCATAGTGCTCTTCCCAAATCCAGACCCTTGAGAGGGCCCAGTGGACACAACACTCCTTTTCCAGAAGGTTATGACTTAGCCCAATATTTAATCCAGTGGGAAATGTAGGCCCCTGGGGGATCCTGTGAATAGCTAGTCACCTGCCTCTCTGTGGGCCTCTGGGTCCTACCTAAGTCAGGGAGCAGGCTGCAGTTTAGGTTTAAGGTCAATACAGTTCTAGCGACTTTTGGGTGCTCGGTCAGTCCCTGACTCTGGGATTCCCTGGGAGCGAACCTGCAGGCACTGAACGTGTCACCCACCAGGTGGCGCAAATCTCCGTCTCAGTCTCTGTGTTGCTGTGCCAGGCACTCACGTCATGGAAGGTTCGGGAAGAATGGTGGTGACAGCTGTTGGTGTGAACTCCCAGACAGGCATCATCTTCACCTTGCTGGGAGCTGGCGGAGAGGAGGAGGAAAAGAAGGATAAGAAAGGTAAGGCAACACCGACTTCCGGTTTCCAGTGCTGATGGCGGCCCTCCAGCTTTTTCTTTTCGTCTGCCTGTGGAAGGTCCCCCTCTGGAGAGAGCCAGACCTCCCCACCCTCCTCAGGTCACAGCCCTGCAGGCCCGGCCTGACTACTGCTGTGACTGGGGCCCATGCCTGCCTGCCACTTCTCGGCTCTGGCCTCTCCTGCAGCCCAAACCAAGTAGGAAGCAGAGATTTCTAGGCTTGTGCCTCCCGCCCAAGAGCATCTACCCACAAGTCCAGAGAATCCACGAATGTGGCTTCCTGCCAGATGCCTCCAGCAGGGCCCTGGGACCAGGGAGTCAGCAAGGGGACAGTCAGTCTCAGGCTGTAAACGGCCTGGACCTGCCCACCCCCAGCCTCACAGGGACAGGCTGGCATAAGGAGGGACATGCTAGCAGCCCCAGCCTGTGCCATTTCTTCATAGCCCCCAGCTCCTGTGCGCTTCTATTGCTAGAAGCTTCCATGGGCCTTGGCTCCTGGTAGCCTGCATCTTCCTGCATGGGCACCACCCTGCTCCCAGCTGGCCAGGCCCACTGCCACCTCCCCTTTGCTCCATCAAGCCCCTGTCTCCATGGGCCTCAGGCCAGGGTCCCTCCCCAGTGAGCACCCGGGGTACACAGGCAAGTGGGTGGGCCCTAGGCATCATATGGGCTGGGCTACACTGGGCTAGAGTCCCCAGACCCTCCCCCCTCTCTCTTCCCGGTGGCCTCTTGGTCACAGCTGGTGGACCCCACAAAGGGCCCTCCACTCCACCCCACCTCCACACCAAGGCTCCCTTTCTTGGACTCCTGATGCCTCTACTCTCGGGGTCCTTTGGTCCCTTTGCATGCTCTTGGCCTGCTGCCCTGTCCCTTCACTGTCCATGTCTTTCACAGCTTGGTCCTGGCCCCCTCCTCTTTGAACTTGACCCCCACCTCGCTCCTCTCCAGCACCCTCAGACTGTGCAACTTGGGGCCCCAGGTGGCTGGCTTCCGGGGAAGAGCTCACTGTGCCCAGCATCTCTCCCTCAGCCAGCCCCAGCCCTGACTCCCAGGCATACTTGGAAGGTGCTCCCTGCCCACCTGCCTCCTACTCTCTGTAGCCGTGCCACTTGACTACAGCTCCTATGCACTGTTCCCTGAGAGGTGCCCCCCTCCCCTCAGCCCTGTCCTGCTCCAGGCCACCTCTCCCTGCAGCGCTCGCCCCAAGCCTCCCTTCCCAGAGGCCTCCCCTATCCCTGTCTGCACACTGGTCTGTAGCCTGTCCAGCAACACCACCTGTTGTGCTGTTTTGTCACCATGCTGTCATCCTGTGTCTCAGGTGTCTCCTCTGCCACCCTCTCAGTCTCCTTCACCTCTGAACTGCCCTCCAGCCTGCACAGGGGCCCTGGGCAGAAAGGATCCAATCTGTGCCCCACCTCCAGCTGGGAGGGGCCCCATCTTCCTTCTTGGGAACCCCAGAGCCTAATCCCACTGCCTAGGAGCCATGTGGCTCCCTGTCTGTCCCTGGATCCCCAGTGACAATGAGCTATAGAGCAGAAACCAGCAGGCTAAGGCACAAGCCCCCTTTACCCGGGTCACCTCTGGATCAGAGCCGGAGCAGATATGGCCCTAGCATAGCCCCTATAACAGACACCTTCCTTGTGCCCAGACGGGTCCACTGGGGCCCTGCCTGACCCTCCACTGCCTCCTTCCGCTCACCAGCGCTCAGGCGGACCTTTCCATGTGGTAGCCCTGGGCACACATGCAAGCCCTGTCATGGGTTGCCCTGGAGGTTCCGAGCAGGTACCGGAGACCTGACACAGCCCCACATATACACACAACTAATTGCCAGCAGGGCACCTGGGCACACAAACCTCATGGACAGTACTGGGAGAGTGGGCATCTCCCGCCCCAGCCCTGCGTGGCCTGGAGCCCCATCTAGGGTTAGCATTAGGGGTCCACAAAGCCCTAGCCAGGGGCGAGAGGTGGTGATATCCTGGGCTGCACTGCCCGTGCCCCAGCTCTGCCTGCCGTCCCGTGCGTGTGTGTGTGTGTGTGTGTGTCCTCACCACGTGAGTGTTCTCAAGGCTCTGTGTCTGTCGTTCCTCTTCCACTGTAGGCAAGCAGCAGGATAGGGTTAGCATGGGGTCCACAAAGCCCTAGCCAGGGGCGAGAGGTGGTGATATCCTGGGCTGCACTGCCCGTGCCCCAGCTCTGCCTGCCGTCCCGTGCGTGTGTGTGTGTGTGTGTGTGTCCTCACCACGTGAGTGTTCTCAAGGCTCTGTGTCTGTCGTTCCTCTTCCACTGTAGGCAAGCAGCAGGATGGGGCGATGGACAGTAGCCAGACCAGAGGTAATGCGGCCAGGAGCTGGGGGGGCTGGGGGAGGGGCCACTCATAGCCTGCAGAAACTGCAGCTGGAGGCCTGGTGAGTGGTCTCGTCCCTGCCCAGGAGTGGAGGGGGCACCCTGAGATCACTCCCAGCCGCCCACCCACAAGCACTGCCAGAAGCCCAGAGCGGCTGCCTTAGGGGGTGGCCCTCTTGTTCCTGCAAAGAGTGAGCACCCTGGTCTGTTTGGCCAAATGAGGAAACTGAGGCACAAGCGAGGGTCACTTGTCTAAAGCTCTGGTCCTGGACCTGTGGGGTTGCCAGGCGAGCACCCTTTCAGCTGAGCCCACGGGCCAGGGTCATGGCCAACACCCAAGGGGCAGAGGCCCGGGTTCCTAGTGAGTGCTAGGAGGCATAGGAAAATGTGACTGGGTGGCAGAAGGCAGCCTGAGGAGAGATGTTAGCTCAAATCGGTGCTCAGCTCTAGGTGACAGGAACATGGGGAGGATATAGCATGGTCCTGGCCCCCACGAAGGTCACAGGCAGAAACAGATAGTTGGAAGATCCATGTGGCATGTGTTTGCCCAGACACCTGGGGACCCAGGCACTAGGGCAGGGTCACCCAAGCCAGCTGCAGCTCAGAGCATGACTGAGCTTGACAGGCACTCAGGACAGGACAGTGCAATGGCTGGAGCCCTGGGTTGAGGGGGTGAGTGAGTGGAGGTAGGGCACAGGCCAGAGTGGTCTAGCTGGGCAGGGACTGGCATGTCTCAGAGGCATCTGGGAGAAAGGAGCTACAGTGAGCGGCCTCAGGTTCCTGGGTAGGGAGAAAGGGTGCAAAGGCGATGCCATGTGCCAAGAGCACCTGGCAAGGAGGACACGAGAAGGGTAAGCTCGGGGACCCCGACTGCCAGTCCAGTGGCCCCTTCTGTAGATGAGCTTACCCTTCCCCTGCTTCACTTGTGTCCTCCATGCCAGGCACTCTTGCGGGCCCAGAGAAGGCCCAAGGTGTGCGAGGCAGTGAGGGTGAGGCGTGAGGGACCTCCCCGGGAGAAGCAGAGGGAACCCAGAGGGGCCAATGGGAGGAGGCAGCCGAGCAGCAGCAGGCGGACAGGGAGGAGGGGAGCCAGGAGACAGCTCAGACGTCAGGGGCGGATGAGCCAGCTTCAGCTCCTGGAGCACTCTTCAGACCTCAGGCCTCTGCTGTCAGGTATGGAGACGTGGCCACTGTGTCCGTGTGCCTAAGTTCTTTGTGTTGTGTCTGTGTTCCCACGAGACAACCCAGTCTCTGTCCCACCAGGATGGTGCCGCAGCAGCCCGCCTCCCTCGGGAGGGCCTGGGCTTAGGTAGCTGCACAAGGAAGGCCATGTGCAGCTTGGAAATACGCGCACCCCCACTGAACCCCATTTCCTCTATGTGGTGTGGCATGTCACCCCACTGATAGTCTCCTGAGCCCTTTCCCCTGGCTGGGCCCTAACCTCGCTCCCGGGCTCCTTTGTGTACAGCCAAGAAGCAGGATGGGGCGGTCGCCATGGAAATGCAGCCCCTGAAGAGCGCAGAAGGCGGGGAGATGGAGGAGAGGGAGAAGAAGAAAGCCAGCGTGCCCAAGAAGGAGAAGTCGGTCCTGCAGGGCAAGCTCACGAAGCTGGCTGTGCAGATTGGGAAAGCAGGTGGGGACAGCTGGAGGGGTTGGGGGCACACTGGGCTCCTGGGGATGGCACCAGGGCACATGGAGCAGGGAGAAGCCGAGTGGCAGGTTGTGTAGGCTCCATGCACAAAGGCTGTGTTCTAAGCCATCCCCCGGGGCTGCCTCCCCAAGCATGGGGCAAATGTGGGTGCCCTCGGGAAGGCCCTGGGCTAGCTCAAGCCAGCTGCAGCCACAGTGGCCCTAACCTCTTCTCCCCTCTCCACCGCATGGCCTCCACCGTGGCCGGGCAGGGCTGGTGATGTCCGCCATCACCGTCATCATCCTGGTCCTCTACTTTGTCATCGAGGCCTTTGTTGTGGATGGCCGGGTGTGGCTGGCAGAGTGCACGCCAGTCTATGTGCAGTACTTTGTGAAGTTCTTCATCATCGGCGTCACTGTGCTGGTTGTGGCCGTCCCCGAGGGCCTGCCTCTTGCTGTCACCATCTCCTTGGCTTACTCTGTGAAGGTAATCACCAGGCTTCTGATTGGTTCTGTCCCACAGACTCAGAAGCAGGAGTGGGCTGTGGCAGGCGAGGGGCTAAGAGGCAAGAGACCTGGGGGATGCCTGTGACACCAGGAGTGTGGGAGAGCCACAGGCCGGGGGCCCTGGGGACAGCAACCCCCTGGAGTCTGCCTGCTTCCTTGGTTTGGCCACAACCCAGCCCCGTGCCGACAGAGGTTCCCAACGGGCTGTTAGTGCCACACACACGCCGTGTTTGGGTTGACCATCTCTCACTCCCCTTCCCCTGCCACACAAACAACCCAAGCACCTCCCCCACCCCATCTGTGCCCTTTGCAGAAAATGATGAAGGACAACAACCTGGTCCGCCACCTGGATGCCTGCGAGACCATGGGCAATGCCACAGCCATCTGTTCAGACAAGACGGGCACGCTCACCACCAACCGCATGACTGTGGTCCAGTCCTACCTAGGAGACACCCACTACAAGGAGATTCCAGCCCCCAGCGCCCTGACCCCCAAGATCCTTGACCTCCTGGTCCACGCCATCTCCATCAACAGTGCCTACACCACCAAAATACTAGTGAGCAGGCACAGGAGGGCAGGCTGGCAGGGCCGCTGCAGGGCGAGGGCAGGGGCTGGGCTGGGGGCATGGCATGAGCATCACAAGGGGCTTGCGAAGCCCCCTGAGGAGTTTCAAGGGACTAGGGGTGCAGCTCAGTGGCAGAGCACTTGCTTAGCATGCAAGACGCCCTGGGTTCTGTGTCCAACACCGCAAAGAAAAAAAAACCCAAACAAACAACACAATCAAGAGCTTTGGAGCAGAACCTCTGGGGTCCTGGCGACCTCCCTTCCCGTCCCTGGCACAAGAGAGTGCTCTGACTGCTGGGCAGGGTTTGGAGAACGGCGGGAAATCAGCCCATAAGGGCTCACTTTGCAGCTAGTGCAGGGCCCATCTTAGTCCACCCCGGGCCTTCCTCTGCCACCCTGCCAGTGTGGAGGGCACGGCCAAGCAGAAGCCCGGGCCCGGGGACAGCACGTGGGTGTTCGCAGCCCCCACGCTATGCCGGCTCTCCTCGCCCTGCAGCCTCCAGAAAAGGAAGGCGCCCTCCCACGCCAAGTGGGCAACAAGACTGAGTGCGCTCTGCTGGGCTTCGTGCTCGACCTGAAGCGGGACTTCCAGCCTGTGCGGGAGCAGATTCCGGAAGAGAAGCTTTACAAAGTGTACACCTTCAACTCGGTCCGCAAGTCCATGAGCACGGTCATCCGCATGCCCGACGGTGGCTTCCGCCTCTTCAGCAAGGGGGCCTCGGAGATCCTGCTCAAAAAGTGAGTGGGCAACAGGAAGGAGCCAGGGACTGGGTGGCTGGGGGCTACCTAGGGTAGTCTTGCTTTATGTCTGTGGCAAAATAGGCCTAACGTGCAATTGACTATTTAACAACTTTAAACTATGTGGTTCGGTGGTATTAAGTATATTCACAATGTCAGCCGTCACTACTTCCGGTTCCACAACATTTCTATGGCCCTAAAAAGAAACCCGGGATACATTAAGCAGTTACTCTCCAGCCCTGGCAACCAGGGCTCTGCTGTCTGTCTCTCTGGATTTGCCTAACTGGACAAGTCATACAAATGGAATCATATACCTCACGGCATTTGTGTCTGCCTTCTTTCCCTGAGAATAATGTCCGCTTCTATCAGAGTTTTATTCCTTTTTGACAATTGAATACCATCCCTTTGTATGGGAAAGACCACATTTGGTTTCCCCATTCATCTGTGGACAGACCAGGGCTGTTTCTACAGTTTGGCTATGGTGAATAATGCCTTGAACATTCACGTACACATTTCTGTTTGAACACATTTTCAACTCTTTTGGATATGTGCTGTGTTAACTTTCCATTGCTATAATAACTAGATGAGCAACTTATAAAGAAAAAAGGTTTATTTTGGCTTACAGTTTTAGAAGTTTCAATCCATGGTCTATTAGCCCCATTGAAAGGCACTACACCATGGGAGGAAGTGTGTAGTGGAGCAAAAAGCCACTCATTTCATGGCTGGCATGAGAAGAAGGAGGAGAGACCACGGTTCCATTACCTCCTTTGAGGGCACACAGCCAGTGACCTAAAACCTCCCCCAATAGGCCCCACCTCTTAAAATTCTACCACCTCCTGGTAGCACCAAGCTGGGGACCCATAGACCTCCGGGAGATGCTCCAGATCCAAACTATAACATCCCACCCGATCCACACAGGCTCATGGCCACCTCATAGTGAAAAATGCACTCAATCTATCCCTGAGAGTCCCCAAAGCCTTAACAATTCCAGCACTGCTCAAAAGTCCAAGTCCAAAGTCTCCTCTCAGACACAAGGCAAACTCTGAGCTGTGAGCCCCTGTAAAATTCAAAATGAAGTTGAACACTGCCAACATGCAGTGGCACAAGGGTAAACATTCCCATTCCAAGAGGGGAGAAATAGAAAAGTCATATGGGAAGATAAGATCAAAACCCAGGAGGGAAAACGTTGAACCTGAAATCACCAGGGCCAGCATCTGGGACATAGTATGGTGGGATGTGGGCCCCAGGGACTTAAGCACCTCCAACCTTGTGACTTTGCTAGGTGCAGCCCACATGGCTTCCCTCGGGGTTAGCTTTGCTCTGCCACACATCACCTGCCCACAGGTCTTCCTTTGCAATCTGGCTGGAAGCCTCCAAGGCCCCACAACTCTTGCACTCTGCGTACCTGCAAACCCAGCATCAGATGATGTTCAGGTCTGCCACAGGTGTGAGCTATACCTAGCCCCCCTTGAACCATGGCTCCTGCAGCCCTGAGTGCCTGGATGGGTGAACATACGGAAAGCAATCCCGGGAAAACAATTCCCTAGGTGCTTTTGGGTGTGCAGGACACCCTAGGGCTCTCTTCGACAAGGACTGTCCTGGAAAGTCTTCGACACAAATGTGTGTTTCTACATCTGTAAGCCTGTCATGGCGGTGGTCTTGCCAGTGTCTGAGTCCCTTTCCTGAGGTCCCAATGGAAAGGAGTAGCTTCTTTTTAGCAGTGGTTGCAACTGCACTCTCCTTAGCCAGAACTTCATGTGCACTTCTTTTCCAGTCAAACAGCAAGTTTTCCAAGTCTTCTCACTTGCTTCCTCCTTGCTCTCAATTCTCACAGTAAATTAGGCTTAAAGCAGCCAGTGATACCCATACCATCGCCTAAGTGCTGTACCGCCTTGAAATTTCCTCCACCAGATAAACGAGTCCATCACCTTCAAACTCAGACACTCACCAAGTCTCGGGGCATGGACAACATACCGCCAATTTTCTCTCCACAGTGTAGCAAGGGTGAGCTTCCATCCCATTATCTTCCAGAGCCCTCGCTCCATCTGAAACCTCGTCAGAATAACCTGGGCCATCCACATCTCATCAGCACACTAAAGACTTTGTCACTTTATCCCCTACAACTTTATCCCCGCAACAACTTCACTTCTTGGTGCCAATTCTGTAGGCATCCTTGATGTATTCCAAATTAACCATCACGTATACCTAGGAGTACAATTGCTGGGCCATGTGGTAACTCCATGCTTACGTTTCTGAGACCCCCTCCAAAATGGTGTCCAAAATGACTGCATTGTCCCATGTCCCCATCCTCATAATATTTGTTATTTTCTGCTGTGGTTATCGGCTTTCCCATCCTTGTGGGTGTGCGGTGGTAACTCGAGGTGGTTGTGACTTGTGTGTCCCTGGGCTCGGTGGTGCTCTGTAGGTCTCCTTTGCCTATGTTTGAGTTGGGATGTTTGTCCTTTTACTGCTTGGTTTGCAGTGTTCTTTATATATTCTGGATGCTGGATCCTCATCAAATATATAATTTGTGGCTATCTCCCCCAATCCCGTGAGTTGTCTTTTCACACTCCTGCGAGTGTCCTGAGATGCACATGTGTGGAGACTGTGATGAAGTCCCATTGCCTGTTCTTGCTGTTGTGGTTTATGTGGGGTTTCTTTCCGAGGCGATGAAAATGCTCTAGCTGGCTGTAGTGATGCTTGTACGTATCTGTGAGAATACCCTGAGAACCATTGGATTGCATACTTTCAATGGGCGAATTGTGTGTGGTACGTGAATTATATATCAATAAAGCTACTAAAAAACTGAAGGAAGAGTACACACCTCACATCGGAGGTCTCTGCACCCCGTTCTCAGCCTGCACACATCTTTGGCACTGTCCCCCATGTGCTCCTTCCCTCCCTTTAGCCCCACAGGCCTTGGGAACAGAGTTCTGACCAGGATGCCAGGCTTTTCCGTGCCCACAGCCTCAGCTGACCCGGTCACCAAATGCACCTTCGCCTGGCAACCAGCCTGGCATGCATGCCCCTCAGGTGGCTCAGGCAAAGGCCACCTCCTACCTGAAGATGTCCTTGCTGGGCAAGGGGTGGAGGCTGGACTTGGGTGCCCAGTCCTCTTTCTGTGCCTCCCCTCTGGTGGGCACTGTGGGCAGCTGCTGCCCTGGGAGTGCTGTCCCATCCCCCATCCCAACAGCCAGTTCCCATGTCACCAGTCTCCCTGTGGCCCCTGCCCCTGAAGGCCGCATTTACTTCTTCCACCACATTTGTCTCTGTGGCCGACTCCTGCTGGCCTGGTGCTTCTGAGGAGGCCCGGGGTCAGCAGAGCTTGGACTGAGATGGCTGCTGCCTGAATGCTTTGACGTTTCGTTTTTCCTGCCACAGCCTTTCATCCTTCCTCCCACCTGGGTCACTTAGCCAATAGCCATGTACGAGTATCCTGGGGCTCCTGGGACAAATTGTTGTCCCCGAACAAGTTGGCCTCAAACAACAGAAACTTGCCATCTCTCAGTTCCAGAGGCCGGAAGCCCAAAGTCAAGGGTGGACTGGGCTGTGCTCCCTTGAAAGCTGTAGGGGCTGATCCCCACTGCCTCCCCCACTTTCTGGAGGTGGCTGCCATCCTCGGCACAGCATGCATTATGCCCACCTCTGCCTGTGGTCACGTACCATTCTCCCTGTCCGTGCGTCTCTGCATTCCCTGTTTATAAGGGAACCAGTCATTGGCTAGGGCCCCCACCCTAATCCGGTGTAACCGGCACTGTTTCCTCTTGTTCTCTTCCTGTCTCCCCTCACCTCCCCTCCCTGCCCAGGTGCACCAACATCCTAAACAGCAACGGGGAACTCCGGAGCTTCCGTCCACGGGACCGGGATGACATGGTGAAGAAGGTCATCGAGCCAATGGCTTGTGATGGCCTGCGCACCATCTGCATGGCCTACCGAGACTTCTCTACAGGCCAGGAGCCCGACTGGGACAACGAGAATGAGGTGGTGGGTGACCTCACCTGCATAGCTGTCGTGGGCATCGAGGACCCTGTGCGGCCTGAGGTAGCCACCCCTTCTCTGGGAGCTGCCCTGGTAACTGTGCCCTGAGCCTGGGCTTGTCTGGTGGGTGGCGGGGTGGCCTTCTACCACATCTGGCTTTCCCTGTTGTCACCCCTTTTCTTACCAGAGTTCCAGGTAGAGCAAACTGGCCAGTGTCAAAATTCAGAAAGACTGGGTAGGGCAATCACTTGGGGCCCTCTGGGCGTATAGCTATCCCTCTCAAAATCTGAGCCCCCTTCACACGCTGGGCCCTGACCCGCACAGGGGTTCTGTGCCACCCACTAGAGGCTCCACGAGTGGGGAAGCCTGAGGGGACACAGTTTTGGGGGACAGGGTGGGCAATTCTCAGTTAAGGGCCTGGTTAGTTCGAAATGAGCTTCAGGACTTCTCTGTGGAATGTCAAGTAGCCCAGAGGCAAAGGCCCTGAAGGGAGGGACATTCCAGGGGCATCTTTATGTAGGTGACATTGCCAGGGTAATGTGTGGCTGTGGCAGTGGCTGACAAGAACAGAGTGAAGGAGAGCAGGTAAGCTCATCGGACAGCCATCGGAGCCAGCTCCACACATTGGCTGTGGCTTCGGTCTTTAAAGATGGGGCAACCTTGGGCAGGTAGAGTCTGAAAGAGCCCTCTGTTGCCCCAGACCCTCTCCATTGGTGCCGCTTCATGTCAGCAGCAGGGCTACCTCCATCCTGCCCATTCACCAGAAAAGCAAATTTGTAGAATGTGCCGGTGCAGTGGCCACAGGTCATTGTCAGCAGAGCAGCCTTGAGTCCCAAAGACACTGAGGTCATGCCTGGGAGAAATGGGTGGACAAGAAAGAGATGCAGCAAGCGGTATTTTTTGTAAGTTTTCATCTCAGATTATGTTAAACCCAGGCAAGTCAATAGAAAGCCATAAGGGAGACTCTGCTTCCGTGGATGCCATGGTGGATAAGGGGCAGGGAGAGGCCCAGGCTGGGTGATGGCAGAAGGACCCAGGGATCAGGGAATGACCAGGAGAGAGTCCAGGTGGCAGATCACAGTGACAGGGCCAGGTGGGGAGGCCAGGTGGGTCCCAGAAGACTGGCCAGCCAGGCAGTGCCTGGGAGGAGCCCAGAGGACCTGGTGAAAGTGCTGGCACCTGGGTGGCTGCAGCCAGGTGAGCTGTGGGGCTGTGCCCATGGAAGCCCAAGGCTAGCACCGTTGATGCCAGGGTGTGACCTGGCAACTGCTGCAGATGCCTGTCTGGGTACTGTGCTGTCAGGCCTTAGGGAGAAGGTGGGACAAGGAGGAGCAGTTCTTCCAGGAAAGCAAGGTCGCCCTTAGGTGCCCAGGCAGGTGAGGCACACCACTGCCTGGGGCCACAGCTACCAGGCCTCAGGCTCCTCATGGCCACTTGGTGGCAGCAGAAGGGTAGCACAGGCTCTGGCTTGTAGCTCATAGTCTTATCCAACATCCTCAGAAAGCAGAAAGTGGCTCTGAGGCTGGCAGGGCAAGACACATTCTGCAAGTGTGGGGTCCAAGCTCCCTCCAACAGCCGACAGCCGAGCTCTTCCCAGGGCTGGTCCTTCCTGGCCACTCCCAAGGCCATTCGCCTCAGGGGTCGTTGTCTGTGTCACAGCCTGAAATAGAGGTCACTCTGTTCTCACCTCCACGTTCTCCTGGCTGCTCTGGGCTGCCCTACTTTGCCCCCACCCCCACCCCTGCTGTCCTGTTTTTTTTTTCCCAAGCACTAGTGGCAGCTCCCTGGCCTTCCCTGTGAAAGGCAAGGCGCACTGCAGAGCCAAGCAGTGCTCTGCTTCCCGGCCTAGAGCTTGAGGAGGAAGCCTCACGTCCAAGGGAAATGGTTTAGGGTCTATGCTGTGACACAAAAGAAATCAAACGCAGAGACAAGCGAGTGCTGAGCTCAGAGCTTGGCTGCAAGCCGGCTCACTGCCGGGGGCCACCTGGAGTCAGGGCCCTGCTGACTGTCAGGGAGCTGGCAAGGTGACCAGGGTTGGGAGGTGACCTGTGGGCTGGTCCTGCTCAACAGCTCTAGGGCTGTTTCCCAACTGGAAAAAGACATTGCCAGAGTTGGGTGACTCCTGTAGCCACCCTGGTGACCTTGACAAATTTGGATATGAAAACTCCCTTCCCTGCTGTAAAAGCTTCCAGTGACTTCTTCAGCCCCACTTGTGCCGCGAGGGCCTGGGTCTGAGCTGTTGTGGGCTCCTAGGGCACAGTGGCTGAGGGGCTGGGGGAGACAACTCTTCTGTCACCTAAGAGACCCCACATGGGACCAGCCTTGCTGGAACTCAGAGTCCTGCAGCTCTGGATGCAGGGAGGGGCACAGCCCTGACACCAAACCCATCGGGCTTGGCTAGCCCCTCCCACTTATGCCATCTCTTGCAGGTCCCTGAAGCTATCCGAAAATGTCAGCGTGCTGGCATCACGGTCCGCATGGTGACCGGAGACAACATCAACACGGCCCGGGCCATTGCAGCCAAGTGTGGCATCATCCAGCCTGGGGAAGACTTCCTATGCTTGGAGGGGAAGGAGTTCAACCGGAGGATCCGCAACGAGAAAGGAGAGGTAGCCCTGCCTCCCACCCCCCACCCCACCCCCACGCACACGCCTGCCTTGGCTCTGCAGTGTCCCTGTGCCTCCCCAGATAGAGCAGGAGCGACTGGACAAGGTGTGGCCCAAGCTGAGGGTGCTGGCCCGGTCGTCTCCCACCGACAAGCACACTCTGGTCAAAGGTAAATGAGCTCGGTCACCCTCTTACCTGTGGACCAGTAGCAGCTCCCCTGCATGCCATGACAATTACTTCTGAACACTCTATGCCCCACTCCCAGATAGGTCCCAGGGCCTGCCTAGGAAGCCAGGGTCCTCGGCTCTAGACCTTCTGCTTCTAGAAACTGGAGAATAGAAAATGTCCATGCAGGAAGGGCCCATAGCGGCCACTCCCTCATCAAAACAGACAGGGAACTGAGGCCCAGGAGAGGGAGATGTTGAGGGCCCCTCCTTTCTACCAAATCAAACCACCCTGGGTACAGATTACACCAGCCTTGCCCTGTCCTGTTCTGTGTTCCAGGAATTATTGACAGCACCACGGGTGAGCAGCGGCAGGTGGTGGCAGTGACTGGGGATGGCACCAATGATGGGCCAGCCCTCAAGAAGGCGGATGTGGGCTTTGCCATGGTAAGCCCTTGTATCAACCAGCTTTCCCACTGCTGCTACCAAATAGGTGACACCCACAACTTAAAGGAGGAAATGGTCTATTTGGCTCAAGGTTTCAGAAGAGTCCATGCATGGTTGGCTGCTCCAAGGCAGGAACAGCATAGAGGGAAGGGGTAGGAACCAAGGTTGCTCACGTCAGTGGTAACCAAACATGCAATAATCCCTTACTCAAAGTTGGAACAGCCCCAGAAGTTTTCAAAACTCTTTCTCTGACTAAAAACACTTAGCTATGAATCACTTTAAAAACAAAACAAAACAAAACACAAATTATATACTCCCAAGGTACAATAGCACAGGGTAAACTTTCCCATTCCAAAGGAGGGAATAGAGGAATAGAACAGAAATGGACCAAAGTAAGACCAAAAGCCAGCAGCACACATTAGGTCCTGTAGCTTCACATGCAGTGTGGACATGGTGGTGAGATAAGAGCTCCAGGGGGCTTGGGCAGCCCCAACCTACAGCCTTGCTGATTGCATCTCACATGGCCTCTCTTCACGCTGGCACTGATCACTGCCTGTGTCTTTCCCTGGCGTGTGTTCCACATTCCTGGTATCTCTGACTTCCTAGGGTCTCTACTGCATCTCTCACTTCATTCCCACAGCTTCTTGCACTGGCCCTTCAGGGACTCCTTGACTGGCCTTCCAGGCCTTCCTTTGAAATCTGTGTAGAAGCCTCTGTAAGCCTACAATTCTTGCATTCTGCATGCATGTGGGTGACACCATGACCTGCTGTCAGTGGGAACAGTCACCGGGTTCCCTTGGACCATGGCTGCAGCAGCCTCTAAATGAGCATGTGGCTGAGCACAGTGAAATGAATGCAAGGGAGCCAATTCCCTAGGAGGCCCTTCTTGAACAGAGGTTCCAGGGACTCTCTTCTCAAATGAAAGATGTCAACTAATAGTGTCAACTACTTCATCCTTAAGCCTGTGATGGGTGAGGCCTTGCTGATTTCTGAGATGTCCTGAAGGCATCTTTCTTCTTGTCCCTGTACAAAATATGTAATATCTTTTTAAGGGTGCTGATCCCTTCAACAGCCATACCGCCTTTGGTCCCAACTCTACACAGTTCCTTTCAGGCCATAATTTTAAGTTTTTCAGATTTTTCTGCTCTACTTTTTGCCCTGATTCTCACTTATCAGTCTAGCTCAAAGCAGCCAGCGATATCCATCCCACAGCCTGAATGTTGGGCTGCCTTGAAGTTTCCTCCTCCAGATCAATTAGCCCACCATTTGTTTGTTTATTTATGGTTTGTGGGGTTTTTTTTCTTTTTTTTTTTTCTTTTTTTCTACTCCACCACTCTTAATCTCAGTCTCCCACAAAGTCTTGGGACACGAGAAAAATGTAGTCAAAAAAAATTTTTTTTTGCCAGAGTGTAACATATGCAACCTCTAGTCCAATTGCCAATGAAGTCCTTTTTCCTAACTAAAACCTCCTGAATCTGGCTTTTACTGCCTGCATTCATATCAGTATCCTGGTCTTCTAAGTCCCAACCAGAATTGCCTATCAAACTTGGCTTACAGCATCTGAAGACTTCTCTAGATGCCATCTCCAAACCTTTCTAAACTCCTTCTACAAACCAGTTCGAAAGGCTTCTGAACCACGTGGTCACATATACTTACAACAATGATCCCATTCCTCTGGTGATAGTTTCCTGTATTGGCTTTCTTATTTCTGGGACACAATACCTGACACCCCAACTGAAAGGAGGTGAGGTCTAATTTGGCTCACGGTTTCACAGGACTCAGCCCATGGTCAGCTGGCTCCAGGCAGAGATGTCATGGCAGAAGGACATGGTGGAGAAAAGCTGCTCAGTTCATGATGACCAAGAAGCAGAGCAGGGGAGCTGTGCCAGAGAGGGAGGGGCAAGGGACTAGACATGGCACCCAAGTTCATGCCTTTATGACCCACCCAGATTCACCCAGAAGTGTGTTTTACTAATCCCCCAGGCACTTCTGAATCCAGTCAAGTTGATAAATCACAATTAATGGTCACAGTCACCCCATGCCAGGCTGGCTTACCATCGTAGACGAGACTTGTGACCCACAGACATCAGATTTATACCCAACAGTGGGTATAAATGAGAACAGGTTGCAGAGTGCTAGAAGGTTCTTTCTCTCACATCCTAGCAGTGTGGGCCTGAATGGGCTCTGCCTATTAAGGGACATGTATGTGATTTGCTTAAGGACATTTGGTGTGATGGCACCTGAGGTGACAGTGGGGCAAGGGTCTTGTCAGTGGTGGTCCCAGTCTGCCAGCACCCACTCCTAATCCACTGAGTGAACTCTAGGCCCAAAAGTGATTAGCAGAGTCCCCAGTGGATTCATCCCCTGTACTGTGTCCCTGCTGCTCATATGGGGCTAGTTCTTTCCATAAAGCCCTGACCCTACCAACCAGGGTGGCATGCCAGACACTGCCCACATGGCTGGCCCTGGGCCTGCAGGGAACTGGGGTTGGCAGCAGCCTGGTGAGCCATGTCCCCACTTTATGGAAAGGAGCACACTTTGAGTGCAGCAGACGATGGACCTCGCGTGGCCTTCCCGGACCCCACAGGAGAGGGGAGACCAAGCCAAGCTTCCCGGCACTGAGGAAGGGGCCCCGTGGACACTGTGTGTGTTTGCGTGCCATCCCCAGGGCATTGCGGGGACTGACGTGGCCAAGGAGGCCTCCGACATCATCTTGACAGATGACAACTTCACCAGCATCGTCAAGGCGGTCATGTGGGGCCGAAACGTCTACGACAGCATCTCCAAGTTCCTGCAGTTCCAGTTGACAGTCAACGTGGTGGCTGTGATCGTGGCCTTCACAGGCGCCTGCATTACTCAGGTGAGGTGCTCAGGCCCAATGGTCAGGTTGAGAGCAAAGTTTTTTTCTTTGCTGTAGATTCTTTCTCTGTTTTGTTTGTTTTGGTACTGGGGATCGAACTCAGGACCTTGCGCTTCTGAAGCAGGCAGCAGAACCACTGAGCTAAATCCCCAGCCCTGTTTTGTGTTTTTGAGACAAGATCACACTGTGCAGTTCGGACTGGCCTTGAACTCGCTATATACTCCACGCTGGCCTCCAATTTGCAGAGATCCTCCTGCTTCAGCCTCCTGAGTGCTGGGATGACAGGTGTGCACCACCACACCAGGCTCTTTGCCACAGATTCTTTAAATTGTATTCACATACCAGAAGACTAGCCATTGGGGGGACACAATCCAGCTGGGTTTCAGCATATTCACAGTATCGTGCAGCCATCACTTCTCTCTACTTCCGAAACGTGTCTGTGGATCCCAAAGGAAACCTGTACCCATTGGCAAGCACACGCTTGCCCTAGCTCCTGTCTGTATGGAGCTGCTGGTCTGGACGTTTTACATGAATGGACTCAAGTAGTTTTTGGCCTTTTCTTTTTTTTTTCCTCATTGAGTTTATTAGTACATTTTAGGTATACAGTACAGTTACATTCATCATTGGGATCTTGTACCTCTACATGACAGGTCTTGGTTCTCATTTTTTCCCCTTGTCCCTGCCCTCCCTTCATCCCCCTCCTCCCCTCCCCATTTACAAACACTTTATTTCCATTTTTTCATTTTCTCCTATTTTTTTCTTTTCCCTTATTACTTTTCCCCTACCCTAGGAAAATGGATACATATTGAGGATATACTCCTAAGTGAAATAAATAAGGCCTTTTCTATTTGCGGCTGAAAAAGAGCCTGCATGGCACCCGCCATTCCTTGCATCTTGCAGACTTGTTTCCATGCTCCTGGGCCCCATGGGATGCATACTTCACCCGTAGCAGAGCTCCTCCCCTTCCTCAGTGGTCTTATTCGCCTCATCCGCCAGAGTCCAGCGTTTGTTTGTCCCATGTTGGATAGTCATGGTTGTGGTCAGTGGGGAGCTAAACTATTGCTGATCAACTTGGTCTTTACAAAGATTTCTTTTAAAAATCGAGATCTAGCCAGGTGTCATCCCAGCATTTGTGAGGCTGAGGCAGGAGAATCGTCACTAGTCCAAGGCCAGCCTGGGCTACATAGTGAGTTCAAAGACAGCCTGAACTACATAGTGAGACCCAGTCTCAAAAAAAAAAATTGAACCGGGGATTTAGCTCAGTGGTGCTGCTGCCTGCCTCAAAAGCTCAAGGTCCTGAGTTCGATCCCTGGTACAAAAAAAAATTTGAGATCTAATTTACATGACATAATAAAGATTTGAAAGTGTACCATTTGAAGATTTTTCATATATTCACGCTGTTGTAGAATCAAGGCCGCTAGCAACTCCCAGGACATTCTGATCACCCACAAGGAAACCCCACATCCATTAGCCACCCTCAGCCTCCTCCGCCTGCTCTTGGACCCCTCCTCTGCTCTCTCGGTGGACTTGACAGTTCTGGAAGTAACCCATGAATGGAGTCATGTGACACACAGCTTCCTGCCTCAGGCTCCTGTGAGGCTGAGTTTTACAGAACAACTCAGAGGGGATAACAGGAAAGTGGTGTATTCACTTTCCTGTCATGGGGACACAGTACCTGACACCCAGAACCTAAAGGAAGAGAGGTTTAATCTGGCTCACAGTTTCAGAGAACTCAGTCCATGGTTGGCTGGCTCCAAGGCAGGAGCATCATGGGGGACGGGTGTGGTGGAGCAAAATTGCTCAGTTCTTGGAGGCCAGAGCAGGGGAACAGCACCAGCCAGGAAATAGGCCACAGCCCAGCTATAGATCCCCAAGTCACACCTCCAAGACCCACCCAGACACACCCGAAAGTGTGCTCCACCAGTCCCTCAGACAGATCCAAAGCCAATCTGGGTGGCACTGTGCCTTAACCACCACAGCAGGTCAGGTTCAGAGGTTTGACCTCTTCCTGTCCCAAGGAAGGCATGAAGAACAGCCACCACTGTGGTCTCGAAAGGCAGCACCCTGTCATTGGTAGAACTGGCTGGGACTTTCAGCCTCTCGCTGAGGCTTTGGACCTCTTCAAGATCACTGCTGGTGGCCAGATGAGAGACGTGACAGGGACCCGAAAGCCCAGTGGAAAAAGCCCGCCAGCCTAATGGAAACGTGGTCTGGAGATGCCCCGTGGTCTGGGACACCGAGCCTACGTTGAGTTTTCTCCCCTCTCTGCAGGACTCCCCTCTCAAAGCCGTGCAGATGTTGTGGGTGAACCTGATCATGGACACCTTCGCCTCTCTGGCCCTGGCGACAGAGCCCCCCACAGAGTCACTGCTGCTTCGGAAGCCATATGGCCGCGACAAGCCCCTCATCTCACGCACCATGATGAAGAACATCCTGGGCCATGCGGTCTACCAGCTCACCATCATCTTCACGCTGCTCTTTGTCGGTAGGTCAGCACTGTCGCTGGCTCTGTGGGGGGGGGGCAGGCACAGCAGTGGCTGCGAGCCTCTGTGGCTGCCGGAAGTCCCTCAGCCCTGCACCGCCCCCCTCCAGGGGAGCTCTTCTTTGACATCGACAGCGGGAGGGATGCGCCACTGCACTCGCCGCCCTCTGAGCACTACACCATCATCTTCAACACCTTCGTCATGATGCAGCTCTTCAACGAGATCAACGCCCGCAAAATCCATGGCGAGCGCAACGTCTTCGACGGCATCGTCAGCAACCCCATCTTCTGCACCATTGTGCTAGGCACCTTTGCCATTCAGGTAGCGGGGATGGGCAGGGCTTCGGGCTCCAGGCCTGCGCCAACACTGGCCTGTTGGTCTCCGTTCACAGAGCTTGACTGTGGGCCCTGGTGGGCACAGCCTCCCTTTGAGGCCAGGAGCAGCCTGCCTTGGATCTGCCCAGGCCCACCATCCCCATCGCCTTCGTCCTGGGGGGAAGAGTATGCCCAAGGCTGGCATGTTGATCCCTCTGCCTGGGGGAGGGTGACGGGTCCTAAAACACAGTGACTTGGAAGAAATCACAAGTGTACTAAGGTCCAAGGGCCAGGAGATGATTGGCATCGTAAGATATTCTATGACACAGAGCCCAAGGGGACAGGGCACACAGGAAAAGGGGTGCCGTGGCTTCCCCAGGATGCAGTGGGCTGGAGGGCAGCTACTGTGAGTGTTTTCTGCCCACTGTGGGGTGGGGACTGTCGCTGGTAGCCTGGCACCTGGCTCTAGGAGGTGAGGGGCTCTGGGTTGCAAGGTTCCTACAGGAAATGCTTGCCAGGGAAAAAGAGGGAGCAGGGCCCAAGGCAAGGTGATTCTTGTGTTCTGGGCTTGGTGACCTTCCTGTCGTGGGCAAGGTGACCATCTGTTATAGACAAAGTGCCCATCTGTTATGGGCCATGCGACCCTCTTGTTATGAGTGAGGTGATCCTCCTGCCATATGCAAGGCGACCTTCTTGTTGGGGGTAAGGTGATCTACTGTTTTGTTTTGGTACTGGAAATTGAACTCAAGGCCTCACACTTGCAAGGCAAGCACTGTGCCCCTGAGCTACATTCCCAGCCCAAGGTGGCCATCTGTTATGAGCAAGGTGACACTCTTGTTATAAGCAAAGTGACCTTGTCGTGGGCAGGGTGACTCTCCTGGTGTGGGACAGAGTGGCCCTCCTGTCCCGAGTCTGGTGTGTGTGTCTACAGAGTGGGCGCTGCAGTGTCCCATTGGCAGAGGCTGGGAATATGGTCGGTAGCTATACCCCACCCAGAGGCCAGAGCTGCTAGTTACCTGGCATGCACAGGAGCTGGGGCCGCATGCCAAGTACATGCTGGCCTGCCATAGAACCCCTAGCCCCATGGTCCAAGAGTCAAAGAAGCCCTCTTTAGGTGCTTGCTGAGGGAGATGGACGGGAAGGAGGCCCAGGAAGAAGAGCCCTTGCCTCCCCTGGGGAGCGGCCCGGCCCGGCAGGCGGGGCAGGGGAGGGCTGGAGCACAAAGGGCACAGGTGCTGTGCCCGTGGCAGGATCTGCAGCTACCACACCCACCCTCCCATCCCCTGCAGATCATCATCGTCCAGTTCGGCGGGAAGCCCTTCAGCTGTTCCCCACTGTCCACGGAACAGTGGCTGTGG